TATTAGCTCTATTGAATATACATAAGATAGGCGTCAAGCGCTTCATACCACATCACGTGTAGTGTGACATGTGTTACAAGCCTACCAAAGAGGCGCCAATTAGGCGCCGCCGAGCATTTTCCGATTAGTAGAGAAATCGTTCAAAAATCTGCATGTCTCGAAATTTGTAAATGCGAGCCCGAGGGAAAATCCAAGAGGTGCATTTTGATTTTCCCTCGGGCTCCGAATTTCGATATCTGAAGTCTACGGATTTTTGAACGATATCTGCGATTTTTGTGTTTTTCGTCACGCTACAGTCACCTGATGTGGTATGAAGCGCTTGACGCCTGTCTTACACTGAGTGATTCCCCAATCACGATAATTTGACTCAAGTGTGACACCATGTCAGGATTGGCTCGGGATGGTAAAGAAATGAATGTTTGACATAATCATGCTTCTTGCGTTCAAATTTGGCGGTGATATTCCAGGAAACATGTTCAACACTTCATTTGTGTGCATTACTGTTGCGCCACAAAGACAGATTTCGAAGGGGTCAGACTCTCCGTAGTCATGAGACGGAGATTTTGATATGCTCATGTAGTATTGGTTGTTATTTTAAAATGTTTTACGGAAGGTCTAGCGTATACCACGCAGCTAAACAATTGAACTCGCGTTGATACGGAATAATCATCAAAATTGCTTCTCATACCTTAATTAACATCCCCCCAAGGCAAAATGATAGCCAAAAAATTCGAAACTAAGCCTTTGCGTACGTTTCATCCCTGATATTGGCATTGCACCGAAACGATTGTTCGTCACTTCCAACTAACCCAAAAACGTGGAAAAAATACACAAAGTCTTCGAAAATGTTTTACAACGAGGAGAAATTGACCACAATGCTCTGGCCAATAAGATGCACTCATGTACTGGTTTCAACTGAAACCTCGATCTACAGGGTAACACTCGCTTATCTCACTGAGCTTGGTTCTGGGGCATATTCCTGCTTTATCAATTTCAGGGGGCTAATATGTTGCTTGTTTGGACGGCTTGCCAAGTCCCATCGCCGTGGAGAAACAATGGCAAGCACGGATCGATCAAATTGGATGTATGCCCCAAAAGGAAATAGTTGAATTCGATCAGGCGTCACAATGGGCGCGATGCAAAGCTTCCAAGGCTCGGCGTTCTACAAGGGGTTGCTCTTATCGATGAACAATAATTTTCTGGTGGAAAGCACATTGTGAAAATTTCAGCCTGACCCGGCTTAAGTGTACAAGTCAAGACTCAACGGCGCGGCTCACTATTGCACCTGTCCGCCGCACAGACGGATCTCAATCTTCCTAGTCCATAAGTTTGATTTTTTAAAATAATTTTAGGCCCTGTATACTACTGTGACCGGACATGCCAGTGTGTCAGGGCCCAGGGCGGGCAAAACAATTCGCTCAATAAACGTAGTCTGGAAAAAAAAACAAGACATCAGCAGGAGCAAAAGCAAAAAGAACAGACATAGCGATCAATTACAAAGATTGAATGAAAGAGGTTTGTCGAAGATACGTTCATGCATGCGAAAGCTGGGAGCCTGGAAGTCGTGCAGCAAGTCCGGCGACTTCATAATCAGGGTGCGGACTGAGCCTGCTGCCTGGAAGGTCACGTTCACTGATATATCTGGTCTGCAAAGCGGCCTGTTTGAATAGATAACATTCGAAGTGAAAGTTTGACACGAACGCTGATTACCGTGCAGAATACAATGGCAAATACGCAAATCTTGATAACATATCAGGCGTATCCGCCCACATGGCAACCTGGCCGAGTGGTCTAAGGCGCTAGATTTAGGCACGCTTATCTCTAGTCTTTCGGGGCGTGAGTTCGAATCTCACGGTTGTCACAGTGCTGGTGTCGCCTGGCTACCTTTTTCCACAGCGGCGATGCCAAGGGCCAAGGCCCAAATTCAAAACCTGTCACTAACGATCAAATCATGATGATTAATCATCACATCCCATTGTACGATGTATATGCTAGTCTTATGCTACACATTTCCGGGATCGCGTACCTGAGGGGCTCTGGGGTGAACATTACAGGTCCAGTCCGGTACCAGTACTCAAGCTAACTCAAGCGATAGACCAATACTTGTCTGGCTATTAGGTGCACTGGCTAAGCTTGTCTATGGCACCGGTTGTGCCACTTTGATATCGTACAAGACACCTGCTATTGTAATAACTGCCGTCACTCTGACCTGCTACATTTGCTGCCCATGTTCAACCCATCTACGCAACCTTAACCTTTCGCCAGTGCATTTGCTTGTCCTCCTTTGTGGATATCATCTATGATACAGAAACTTAGTACAGTAACATAAAGGGTCTTCTAGTCTGGTCAAATGTCGAGCTATGACTATTGTGAATATCAGAGGCGGTGCCACTCCAAATTCTGTTGTCATTCTCCTCTATCCGTTGATCAGGCCGCTACTGCTAGCCAAAGAACGTACACAAGAACATCATGTGACAAGTAGCATTCGGCCTTCAGGCAAGGTCAGTACATCACAGTTACAGTGCGTACCTCGATATTTACGAGGCTGAGTAATTATTATCTCAATGCTGGCATCCAATACTGTACATGCTTCAAAAGTAAACAGCCTCGCTGTTGCAGCTCGTGCTTCTCACCTATCTTCCATACGAGAACATCATTCTAGTGATTCCTTGGGTTGTATGACCGCTAGGAACGGACACAGCATATTAACGACTACCTTCTAGCAGCAAGCTGCCCATATACTACCTTTCACAAGTTCACCGTGAGATGACGAAAATGACCATCATCCAGGTCCGACCACCAACTTATGCAACCTCCGGACAATACAACTGCTGCTTTCGTGCGAGCTCGAAACGCCGTCACCGGCGCCCAACATATGACCCGTATTTGGACCCACCTATGTCATTCCCACTTTGTCCAATTCGAACATTATAGTCAAGCTTCCATCCTTCGTTCAGAAGCGTCCAACTTTCCTTTGTGTAATCGCACACGCATGGAGCAGGGCACATCCGGTGTTCTCTTCTCAAATGACCGACGCACTGCAAAGCAGGCTCGCGTTAATGTTGTCAGAGATATTGGAGCAAGACAAGCCCTCGAACAGATACCCGAGCGTTGTTCTAGATTCGCGAATCCTGGTTGGTGAGATGGGGCACGTTGAGGTCGACGCTGTTACGTCGCGCAGCCTCGCGGCAGGGCAAGGGTATTGATGTCGGTGACAGTCTGGGGTATCGAAACGGTCCTCTCTATTGAGGCAAGTAATAGTACAAGTTGATAGTCCATAATAAGTCTAAAATGATATGCTGAGGAAATGAAATTCGGAGATGGATGGAGAAAGGTAGCCAGGTCATCGCGCTCAAGGCATGCTTTGCCTGCGCGATCGCTCGAGAAGTGCGTCTTGGGGATGAGAATGAAACGCCCGGTCAAGATAGGCAGCAGCGTGCTCATCTGGTCGAGGAAAGTGCTATACTTGCTAGAGAAAATAAGAAGCCGAGGATACATGGATAGTACGAGCATTCTCACCACAACTCGTATGTTGAGCGCACCGGGAGGTGGTACGACCATGTAGGATGATGGCCCAAGATGTGGTGGCTGGTAGTGATGCTGATGGTGCGAATGTGGATGATGCGCTGCCGACGTCGAGCGATTGTGGTACTGAGGTGGGGAGAATGCTGGCGGGGGCGGTGGTTGAGATGGCGGGCCCTGTGCCCATTGTGGGGTAGGAGCCGCCGCTGGGGCGTATTGAGGTTTTGGTGCATGGATATATGCGCTTGTGTTTGGTTGAGGCGGCGCTGAGAAGTATATTTGGACTGGCGGGGATTGTGGTCTACGCGACAGGATGGGCCCTGTCGCTGGATTAACATTCGTGGCGTAGGCCGGTGTCGCTGGTGCATAGACCCCGACCCCAGCAGGAGTAGCATGGCTTGATCCAGGGTGGGATCGGTGAGAAGCCAACTGCGGTGGTGGAGGGGAGAGGAAAGAGGTCGGCATCGGTCCAGGCAACGGCGCGTAAATTGGGCTGACGGGATGGCGAGCGTCCATACTTGCGCCTCGTCGTCGGGAAGTTGGGTCGCGCCTGCTGGGGCGTCGTCTTGTGTCTGCGAGCGCTTCACGGTACACATCCTGAAACGCTGAACCAAACTGATTTTTATGCGCCTCGGTGTTGTCTACCCAGCGGCCGACACTTTGCATTTTGTCCTGAAAACCGTCAACTGTGGAGCTGCGAGGGCCAGTGAGAGATACGGACCTGGAATTTCTGCTGTGCCTCGGGGGAGAAGTCGTATTCAGTCATGGTCGTCTAGGAAAGTCTCGACAATGAGCAGGAGGAGGAGGAGGAGGGCGGGAATATCGGTGGGGTGCTTGGGCGTCGAGATCCAAAGCGGGCAGCAGCTTTATACCGTCCGGGCCAGCCGATCTCGGGTACATAAGCCCAACACGTGGAAATTCCCCGGTCCCGATTCAGCTTCCGCGGAGGGACAATGGACATCCCATCATCGTTTGTGCTCGTACAGCCACTCAATTCTCTCTCAGAGTGTGACGTCCGACCTGCCCCGCTCGCAGTGCTTGCAGGTGACCGCGACAAGCTCATTGATTCTCCTTGTTCAGTCTGCCTAAACACGGCACAAGTACTCCCAGTTAGAGCCGCACTTTTACTCAAAATCCCCACACGGATCCATGACCTTCTACCCGATTTAGTAGATAAAATTCCACTGTAAGCCTCTTGTAGCGGACTTACGTCGACGGCCAAGTTGGTGCCATCCACTCACTCATCTGAGGCACCCGTTCGGCGTCGTATCAATATCTCTCGTCATACGCAGTGTCCACTGTCCACTGTTCGCACCGCTAACCAAATAGCAGTGGAATCCCCCTGGAGTGCAATCATGAGCAATCATTATGAAGGCACTATGGACTATCAAGATAATTCATGCTGCGACTCGGTATTATGCTCGACAGTCCTAGGCTGCCTACATGAATGAGGCAGCAAGTCAGTATCAACATCAACCCTGCGGGAGATGGTCCCAACAGATCTGGCCTTCAAGCTTGTCCATGCGATGCGTGGTTGTGTACGTGAGTATGCGTCACTCGGGCATACTTCACGTCTCGAAACGTTCATCTTGCTACGGTCACGAGGCCTCTCGTTGCTTTCAGACTTTGGCTACAGAACTTCATAGGCATTCAAACCGCTAGGTCGTCATAATCGCGTCGGTGGGCTGGGACTCACACCGAATGCATTGCTCCCAAAAAGGTGTGTGATAGTATTTCTACGCTTTCCCTACTGTATGGTGGGTGGAAACTATTCCGCACCTAGGCGGAATGCTCCCCGCTCCTACAATACGAGTAGGTAATAACCCTTGCTTCCAATATTTGGCCGGAAACTTCTCCCAACAACTCTCTCGCCTTTTGATAGCTCGAACTTGTCGAGATTCGCCCGAATCCTTCCGAAAATGCGCCGACTCTCAACTGCTAGAGATACCTAAAGGTCATCTTAGCAGCGCCGACCTTCATCCTCAGATTCCTCACTCGTCACTGCGACGCTGCTGGCTGCGCCCAGCGGCGATATTAAATTTTCAAAGCTCATAGCACAAGTTACGCTTCCTACGTCCCGCAGGATGCGGACGGATCTCAACGCTGCATGCTGGATTACATCCTCTCGTCGGCGTCTCGTCGCAGAGGCGGCCCACCAACAGGGTTTAACTCTATTGTTCGGTTTTTCGGTTACTACTCCCTCTCAAATATTCGGCCGACCGGGCTCAAAATGCACGCCGTATGCCCCCAACATTGAGCAATCACAATGGGCACGTTGCACGACGGTGGGTTACACAGCGAGGAGGCATGAGTTCAGTCACCTGACTTCGGCATGACAGCGGTGGTGATCGTGGAGTGCCCATTGTTCTGATTTCAGCGCTGTCGTCAGTGTGAAGCGACGGGCGTATAGAAAACGGATCCATCTTTTCTTTCAGAACCATCACCAACCCTTCACCATGAACACCGTACGGCGCGACTCGCATCCCGAGCTAAGTTTACCCCACTGATGATTCCATAGATTCAGAATTCGACTCCAATTTCCTATGCGTGTGGAACGGCTGGCTGCAGCTGCAATGAGTGAGTAGCACTGAGTATTCCGCCGGCATCACCTCGTCTTGACCCGTCATTACAGGTGCACCTGCGAGGTCGGCAACTGCAAGTGCAACGAGTGCAAGCATTGAATATGATGTCGAGGCCCACTGAATACCTCACACGCTACGCAGCAAATACGATCTGGAATTTTCTCAAATGTGCTATGCAGAATAACAATCGAGCTTCTCGGACCTCTTGCTGTCGCACTCGGCTCTGCAGCGATGCACCGGAAATGTGCGTCTGGTATTCCACGATACACGCAAAGCAGTGGGCCTCCGAGGTTCTCGCCATCATCTTGAGTGTGCCCATGACTCGGTCATAGTAGCAATCAATGGCTATCGCTGAACCGTCCATGTTCAATGAAAGCTGTCGAACTTTCACCACTGTCACTCAGCATGTGGTACGACAGCCTTGGCAGAAGCAGAATGAGTGTTGTTTGCGGAGCCTGTGCTTGAGCCATACTTTCTTGTCAGAGTTCTTCCCTGAAGGCCTGGCATCCAGGCCAATGCTCTTTTACTACTAACTTGACCCGTACAGTACCTACATTAATGTTGCAACGACAACAGCAGCCAGCTTCAGAAGACATCGCTCGGCGAACAGGATATGGTATCCACCTATGCTGTTATACATTCAACACTAGATTCGGCATTGATAGAAAGTACACAGAAACAGCAACGATAGCGATGTCTAGACGCACCAAGGCGGCGGTATAAACGAGCGATGATGAGGCACAAGATAGCCAAATGG